TACATACTTTTTTTTTTTTTTTTTTTCTTTCTTCCCCCCCCCCGCACTTCACAGGGGTTCACTTTTCCCGGGTTTATCCCTCTCCCAAACCCTGGTGTGAATCGTGCATCGCACCTTCGAGACGGGCTCGCAGGGTGGATGCAACGTGCCCGTTTTCTCGGTAGAGGCTATGGGTCCTGCAATAGCACGGACATGTGGCTTGTTATTATTGTTGTAGCCCCGAAAGGGTTAACTTTTCTCGTGTTGTTCCAGGTGAATTTAATCTTTCATCACCGAATTTCCTTTTAAGGCAGCTCGAGAGAATAAAAGTCTCTCCTCGCTTGTCTTTTGCTTTATCCCCCGAAACGGCAAACTTTGTGCTTTATGGCAGAGGCTTGTTGCTGCAGATGACACGTGAGTCTGGAGGAAAGTTTGGTTTGTAGGTCGCTGAGTAGGAAAGTGAAGTTTGCTGGTGAAGTTTTTACTACTCTCCAGTGTGCTCAACTTCCTCGTTTTCCTGTCTGTGTAAATCAAATTCCTAACTGATTTACAGGGGGGATCACGAAACATATTCCTTCTTTATTATTAAAGCATGAGAGGCATGATGAGGAGAACCAAGTCTTTGTTGTGTAAAAAAAAAAAAAAAAAAAAAAAATTCTGGGCTTGCCTGACTCTCTCCTATCCTGCGCTACTACAATAAATGTCTGAGGATGTTGAGCGTATGAACAAGGTCCTTTGGTGTTGGTGGTCTCTACCCTTTGGCTGTTCACCGGGGCTGTGGTTTGTGCCCCTTTGAGGGAGAGGGGCACCATTTGCAAAACTGATGTTTGGGTTTTGAGTCATACCCCAGTTTGGAGGTGACCGGGCAGTTTTGGCCCATGTCGTGCTCTGAGCAACATGAAGGCTCTTCGGTGTGAGGCTCATGCTGGATTTGGGGCCTTCCTTTGGGTTTGTGTATGTTAACTGCCTTCTCAGAGTACATTTCAAATGAGGACTGGTCCTGCAAACTCTTTTGTGTGTCCTTGAATTTAAGCAAGTGGGTACGTGTTTGTGGATGAGCATTGAAGGGTTTTTTTCCACTTAGCCATAGGAAAAAAGGCCCGTGCTGTTATGGTGGTGGTGCTTAGGGTGCAGGTGGCGCTCTGTAAACGATTGTAGAAAACTTTCTGTGTTTTCTTGTAGTGATTTTCCTTTTTTCTTTTGGTTAAGATCTACTGGAAGAGCAATGTATCGTATTATTTACCTAAGATCACCTGAGCCCGTACACTGCCTCTGCCTTAAGTTTTCTTAGGGGAAGGTGGATTTGTCTCCATGAGAACAGGGTTCATGTGGTGCTGTGTCTTGGGACCTTGGTGGCGCGCCTCCCAAACTGTTATTGGGAACACCTGGATAAGGCTTAGTTCTCACTCCACCAGGAAAGGGGGGGAAGGAAGTGTAATTTAAAGGTATGAAAGGAGTTGGGGTTTGGCTTTTGGGCTTTTTTTTTTTTTTTAAGACTGTGCAAGAATATATGATTTTTGTTTGTTCAAACGTGCACAGCCATAATGCATGTACGTAGCATAAAGAATGCAATAATTACAGGAGATTCTGTTGCTTAAGCTTTTTTCCTCTTCAAACAGGTAGTTATAATTTTTTTCCCTGTGAGTGTTTTTTTTTAATATGAATACTTCTTTCACTTTTACTCTATATATGGTAATTATTGATGTTTGTGTAATGCTTTGAAGTTACAAGGCATGGTATAAGCGCTAAGTACCCAACAGCAGTACTTCATAGTCATTTTCCCATCATGAAAGAGTTTGATGCTGAAGAGTGCTACAGCCCTAAGCATAAAGACGCTCTGGATGGATTAGGGGAAATAGTCAAAATTGCTTATAATGTCGTTTTCAGGTAATATTTTTTAGTTAGGGAGAACAGATCTGAATAATGTAAAGCAAACTTAGTTATTTTACCTAACCTGATTTTGGTTCTGGAATTTAATTTAACATGGAGTCAGAATGTGTTTGCTGTTATAAATTTTGTAGTGGCAGTAAAGACCCACATCCTACAAGGATGTAATCGTGCAGAAGTCAGGAAGTCCTGTAAAGAAACACACACAACTTTGTGAACATCAGCGGTCTAGTTCGGTTGAATAAGCTCTGCAGATGTCTGTGAAGTTGCTCGCAGAAGTGTGTTTTGTATTAGTGGTGGGCAATAGGATGTGAATCTTTCATGACACTGATACTTTTTTGGTCTCACAGTGCTGTTAAGTGTTTAGGGAAAAGCCGAGGCAGTGGCAGGCGTGACACCTTTCCTTCACTAATCTGTTCCTCTGCTCATCTGGAGTCCCAAGAGATAACCACCCCCTTAGTTTTTGCTTGCTCTGCCTGTCTCTTTCCTTCCCCCGGACCCACAGCCGCTCAGGGTGGTGGTGCCTGTGTGAATTCTGACACCTTGCAGGAGAGGACACTGCTGGCAAGCGGAGAAGAGACAGACACAACCCGCCGCCAGCTCTTCCCCTTCTGAACCAGGATAGGGAGATCATAAAGTGGTCTGATGTCTGGTGAGGAGGGTGAGGACAGGGTGTGCTGCAGGACTCTGTGGTGTCCCTACTGCAATACCGTGATATTGAAATGTATCATGCTGAAGTACAACTCAGTCTAATTCATGTTGTTTATGCTGAGAGTTGTGATACTGTTAGGCGTACTGACCATCCTTAGTGCCTCTGTGTGTGCATGCGTACGCACGCAGAGCACAGGGTGTAATAATGACTCTATTTAAAGTCCTAAGCATCAGCTCATGCAAGTAGCTGCAGGTTGGGAGAGAAGTGAAAGTGTGTATGTGCACTCTGTAATTATGTGAGTTTGGCTTCCACTAAAAGTGACTACTGCAAGAACATACTCATTGCGTGCTCATTTTTAAATATAAATATAAGTGTTTGTGTTAGGTGAAGAAGTGGTGTCAGAAGTTTTCCATTAGGAACTGTGATTGACAGCTCTTTTCAGTGTTTTTGAGTTGCATTGCAGCATTAATGTAATACCTTCAAATTAACAGGTGATGAAGAAACAATTCCTGTGTTCCTGCTGTTCATTTAGCTGCCCCTGTCCCAAATACATGCAGCTTTCTAGGCACTGCAGTATGGAGTTAGATGGTCTTAGTTTCTGTAAAGTAGCTTAATGAAAAGTGACTTTACTAGAAAAAGGTTCATCTGGTGATCCCAAGCAGACTAGATGGAGACCATTTTATTTGTCTCATAATTAGTTTCCTCCGAGATAAAGTATGACAATGAAATGATGAATAAGAAACACCTTCTCAGGTGAAATTGAAATTGCTTTCTCTTAATTTTGTAAAATTGAATTAGCTAACTTGAGGTAAGAAGTAGTGAAGACAAGGCAGCAAGGCTGTGATTTCATGAGAGTTGATAGATTGGGTGGAAAAGCATGGAAATCTGGTCTAGAAATCTCTCTGCCAGTTTGTGTGAAAACTGTGAACTACTTCTCGTTAGGGTTCTGCCTTGTGGTATCTAATCCAAGATGAGAAGGCCCTTTTCTTCCTTCTCGTAATGAAAACAAAGCTGAAATTGTTTATACAAAATGCCCTGGAGTCTTAATGGCTGCGTTTAAATTGGAAGTTGAGTTTTCCTTTGGTTCTGAAGGATTTATAGAACAGTAACTCAGCTTACCCTCTGAAACATTGATTTTTTTTTAACACTTTACCATGTCGTTTTCTGTGACAGCCTTTAGATTGTGCTTTTTATATCGATAACAATTCTTTAAAAAAAAAAAAAAATTTCCTTGGTAAGAAATAAGTGGTCATTCCAAGCTGAATGAAAACACACATGCCATCAGGTGCATAGGACCTAGCTGGCTTGGCTAGCCAAGGAGTGAGATGACCAGTATTGCAGCTTACCCTTGCTTGCTCACTTGGATGGGTTGGTTGCTAGAAAGACTTTTGAAAACACTTTCTCATCTGTAGAAATAATAATAATAATAATAATAATAATGATAAAAAGGCTTGGTGAATTGGTGTAGCTTTCTGAAAAACCTCCCGAAAGAACCTCCAAAGTCATCAGAAGGAGTTTACAGAATTATCACAGCCAATGAATCTTTCAAAGATTCAAAGACCCTTCTTGGTCTTTGAATGTAAGCGTACGGGGCGTCATTCAGTGCTACACAGAGATACCAAGGTCCTTCTAAACAAGTGAGCTTGAATACCAGAAGCAACATTCCTAGGTATGCTACCAGACTAGTACGTCTTTTTTTCAGGACCAGTAACGCAAGCAGACTGGGTGTCAAGCTGGTCACGCTTGGGCTGGTTCAGTGCCTGCGCGTGGCCCTTCGTGGTGCTGCGTACAGTGGGAGTGGGCAGCGGGCCCCTTGATTTGTGCTCTGGTTCTGCTTGGTGAAGACGTGACTCTTATTTTTTAAGAGTATAAACTGGCATCTGCATCTGTAAAGTAAGATGTTAATAGTCATTTTCAAAGATGCTGAGTCCCCACAGTTGCATGTGAAGTTGGCAGTCTGCGTGTGCTTAGCATTTCTAAAAATCAAGTCGTGTGTGTGGTTTGCTGGCTTTTGCAGACTCCTGTGAGGGTGTAGTTTCTGGTTTTTTTTTTTTTTTTTTTTTTTTTTCTGGGATCGGTATTAGTAAAAGGCTGTGTTGTGTACCCTGACTTGTGTTTATTGTTGTAATTCTTAAGTCTCCATGTTGCAAAGGAGCAATCTTGTTTATTAGTAATGTCTAGCAGTAAAAAATCAGAATCATCCAGAGAAAAAACAGTTGTTTGTTTGTTTGTTTTTTCATTTATGATCTGAAATTCAGTTCAATCTCTGTTCAGTGTGTGTATTACAGAGACTCTCTACAACCGTGTGCCATATGCAAACATGCTGAGTGTTATTTCAGATAGCTGGAGGTGCGTTACTAGAAATATTAGCCGGTGTGGTGTGAGTAGTAGGCCTTCCCTTCCCCCTCATCGGGGCAATAGTTTTG